ATATTAATAACTTAAATAAATATACTTTAAGTACTTAAGAGAACAACTTAAAAAAATGTAAAATGCCTTAGAGGATTTATAAGTAAAACATAGTATGTTTACTACTATTTTAAGGGCCTTAATATAAGTAATTAAAGTTTTATAATTATAAATAGAAGAAGATTTACTTATCTTATATATAGGTATACTAATAAGAAAGGATAATAAGAAATGCCTTTACTAAAGTTCTTAACTCTAGGTTTAGCCTTTAGGACAAAGACTAACTAGAGGGGAGATAGTATTACAGCGCCTCCTAATAAGGGAAGATTACCTAAGCTACACAGCCTAAAGCTAGGCACTAGACTTGGACACTAGGACAAGACTACCCGGATAGTTGCTCATGGACAGCTAAGACTAAGCATACTTAAGGTTGCTTACCTCTACTTACTACTGAGCACTACTAAGCATATATAGGTTGCTCACCTCTGCTTACCACTAAGCAGGACTGAGCATACAAATCTCTTATCTATATAAGCACGCTCCTTTCGCAGATAGTCAGATAGTTCTTCTTACTTTGTAGTTAACTCATATTATCAGCTTATACCTAAGTTGAAGACATCTTAGTATTATTTACTATACTTCCTGTTTTATCTAATCAACCCACCTAGACCTAGCTTCTAGTTAAGACTTGTCTTAACTAGTTGAGCCCTAATACAAAGGCCTTGCTTAAGTACTTAATAACAATATTAAGCATTATTAATATCCTTTAAAAGAATAGGGTAATTTTTAACATCAGAATATTAAAGGAGAAATATATAAGTTTATCAAGATAGAATACTAGCGTTACATTATCTCTTAATCTCTTTGCAACAAGGAGAATCTAATTAACAGTATATAAGATAAGTAATTACTTTAGTAGCTATATAATTATAATTTCCATTACAAAGATCAATTTTCTACTGGTTTTTAAGGCAGAGTACAACAGAAAAGGGACATCCAGTAAGTCTTGAGCTCCTCTTCTCTGTATAAGTCTCCTCCTCTTTTCTCTCTCCTCTCTTGTCGCATTTTAAGTAAACAGCTCTTAGTACGCCCCCCCAAGATTTTGACCTCTTCTTGACAATTGCGTAACCTTCAGCGGCCGCAAACGTGTTCAGCGCTTTCAGAGCATCAGAGACTGACTCGTAGGAGCCTGTGGTGGGCGGCAGAGCGAGAGAAAGCGTCATAGTTGACAGGCAGAAGCAGTTGATAGAGGGCGTAAAGACAGTTAACAAAGGCGGTTGACAGAGGTGTTAGACGTAGGGGTTGCGCAGGGTTAGGCAGGGTATTAGCCTAGTAAGCAGGAAAAATAGGGTAGAGAGGATCGATTGCCTTGCGTAACCCTACCTAGGAGAGAATTTGACACTGTATAAATAGCTAGAATAACAGCATAAACGTAAAAATAGTTGGTTACGCATTAGCAATACTCGCTGTCTCAGTTGTAGTAGTAAAACAGAGGTTGTAGCAGAGGCATTGATTTCTGCAGCAAAAATATCGAGATGCTGATTTTGTAAGCTAAGCCCAATTAGGACTAGAGGGTGTCGCTGAAGTAAAAGAGGGTGTCGCTTTAGTTGATCCCCTCTTTCTGTCGTTCCGTTGTTTGAAACATCCTCAAAAAAGGACCAGTTCCCAAAACCGCACCCCCTCCCCCCCACCACAGTTTCCCTGACCTTCAATGACCGTTCCTTTTGACACTGCTAGCGTAATGATGGAGTTCCTTCCCATTATGAATAAGAGACGCCTCATGCCCTTCTCACTGACCCTCTGCAAGAGATTTCACCGACCACGACGCAGAGCAGCTATTCACAATCTCACACGAGACCTCCGTCTGATTTGTCCATTTCCTCATCACATCTTTTCTCTGATCTTGTTCTGCTTCGTCTTCCAGTTGCCACACCTCAGAAGACCACAAGATGGGCGTGCAGAAGAATCAAAATACTGGTGCTCTAACAGCTGAGCATTATCATCGGCATCGGCAGCAGTTGGCCCAGAAAGGGACCATCAAAAAGCATCATGCCATCTCCACCAAGAACAACATCAAAGGGATAAAAAACGGTGGAAAAAGTAAGTTTCTCTCAATCGACGACATCACCTTTGTCGGTGAGCTAATCTGTTCTAGGTTCTGTGAGTTGATGAATGAAGATCCTCTAGCCTTTCTCCAGCACTGCTCCAAAGAGGACATCATGACCTTCTGGAAATGGATATTGGATCAATACAAAGTACGGAAGAAAAGTACACTCCACGAATATTGGAGGGTTTGGCGCATGCTCTATCGGCGGTGTGTTGGCCGAAGCTTGCATGCGAAGATAGCTGCGGATATCAACGACGTACGTACTCTGCCATTTCAAGGAGAGAATCTTGGCTGACAGGCTGCAGTACATTGACGAGGACCTTCGACAATCATACAATCTCGATCTCACAACGCGGGAGAAACCGGTGATGAATGTCGATGACGTTTTCTTGATTCTCCATCACCACTGGGTTATGGACACTGCCACTTTCCCGGATGGCCGTCAACGGCTACAAGTTCCTTTCCTTATACTTACCTCCGCATACACCGCAACTCGGCCAGGTGTATTAGTGTACGTGCCGAAGAATGAAAAAAAGGACAAAGGTTACTGCATCAGCGAGAATGACGAAGACGAGGAAGAAGAAGAAGAAGAAGAAGACACCATAGATTGTGAGTGGGACAACGAACAGGCTAAGACACTCTGTTATGGCGACGTTACACTGTTCTTACTCCCTAATCCTGATGGGATTCAGGATCTTTTGGCCATGGAAATCGATGTCCACCATACCAAAGGACATCAGAGGAAGCCCAAGCGGTGAGCCAGACTCCCTCCCTCCGTGGATCTGTTAATGCTAAGCAAATGTACAGCAAAATCTTCGTCTTCTCTGAAGCTGACAATCTCATATTTGACCCCGTTCTCCTCATGATCGTTTTAGCACTAGTAGATAATGCTTTCGAATCCAACATCAGATCAGTCAGGGATATCTTCCGAACCAGGGTTCGCCCTCCTCGCCGAAGTTTGCAGTTACGATAGAAGAGCTCTATTCTCCAGACTCCCATCTTTCGTCAAGCGGTTCCCACTACCAACGGTGTTCAAACGTCTTCAAGCAAGGCTCTCTGTTATTATACGTATCTCTATTATCTCCAGCGGCTAGGTTTGGCAACAGGATTCATGCAAATCTTGGGCCTGTATAATATTTGACGAGGTGCTGATAACAAAGTGGATAGTATATCCCCGTCTTTCTAATCTTATTTCTTCAAGATACTGATTTAAATAAATAAATGCTGAGGATCTTTTTAGAGGTAGCCACTCCGGCTGTACTGCAGTAAGTTATAAACTATAGGGACGCCGGAATTTTCCAGGCATATCTAAATGAATGAGTGCGGTGTGACGTTTAAGCCGCTTTTCTCGGGTGTCCTTCTGCTGATGCACTCATCAAAGCTGCAAGCCATATGAGTCGTTACGTCGATCCGCACGCCCCGGCCGAGCTTAGTGCTTCTGATGTTGATGCGCTCAAGACCCATCCAGATATCATAAGAGCTCAGCAGCTGTAAGATAGCCTCTCAAAAGATATCCGTGCCAAGTTTGGCACAATTCAGAATTCAAAAGGATCAAAGATGTACGAGATGTATCAGAAAGCTGAAGCTGGTTTACACCGTCAAAAAACCAAGCTCCGGAAATCAGCTTTACAAAATTCTCAGAAATAGTTCTTCGAAACCATTAAAACTAAAGACATTAATAAACAGCTTGATTTCTCGCTACTTGATCTGGATAAGAATGACTAGAAACCAGAGATGGTGGAGTATGACTTAAAAGAACAAAGACATATCGCTCAGATGTTGTGTAGTGAGCCCTCCGATCTTACGGAGGATGCCAGCCTCGACCGCCGTGTCTGCATAATCAAAGCTATAGTCGCCTTTTGCCGAGTGAGACAAGCGACGCGTCAGAAGAGATCAAGACCCTGTCGTGATTGGGGGATTTTGGAGAAGAAGATAGAGAAAGCGCAGCAGGCGGACACAGGGCCACCTGCAAGTTAGTTCCCGATGACCTGCACAAGTACTCAGTGCCTTTTCTGTCTTGGGAACGCTAGGCTACCTTTTGAATCGCGAATTTTCTGCTTCAGCCGGCCCCGGAAAGCACGAGAGCATGTTGAGCGCCAACATCTTCGATTTTTGCCTTCGAACGAAGCTCTGTCTTGTCCTCACCCCCAATGTAAAGAGGTTCTCCAAGGTATCATGCACTTCAAGAACCACGCGGCTACCATTCACAATTGCTTTCTCTTCGCTAGGTCAGGGTTAGATTGAGCTGATTAGGATCAATTAATTTAGCAGAGTCATAGCGAATATAAGATTAGATTATTGATGTAAAACCTGTTCTATTCTCTACAACTTCTTTGTTCCTTGAGCAGATATGCAATCACCTTGTAGCGGGCTAAAGATCTGTAATACTACAACTTGTACTACAACGGCATGTAGCACGACAACCAGTAGCACAACAGCTTATCGCACAACGATCTGTTGTACTGCAACTCGTACTATAACGGCATGTAGCACGACAACCAGTAGTACAACAGTTTGTCGCATAACGACCTTACCAGCTCTTATACCAGTCCGTTCCTGAGAGCAGAACTGAGTACATAAGTTAGCTACCAAAACTTGGAACCTATCAATCGCAAGCCCCACGATTTGGAAGGGATTTGGAAGGGCCCCACGATTTGGAAGGCCCCACGATTTGGAAGGCCCCACGATTTGGAAGGCCCTACGATTTGGCAGGCCGACGTATAGTGATGGACACAGCTTTACTACGTAAGTCCTGAGCACATAGGCGATGGACCATATTTTGTTATCATCTATCCTCCTCTTCTCAACTAAGAGTGTGTAACATTTAAAGGGTTTCAGCCATCACAAGTTCCTCACACGCTTATAATTCCCTACATTTCTCTACATCACATCTGACGACGGCGATAATAAAATTTAGCAGAGCACAAGCGGTGGCCCGGGGCACCCGTTCTTTGAATTGAGATGTCTGAACACATTGAGATGTCAGAATCTTAACCGTTATTTGAAGGGTGACCTTACTGTTGCAAATTATCTCGTCGATGAAATATTTTTTTACATTTGTCGCATGGAAATTTCTTTTCTTTCTTATGAACCTGAAGAGACATAAGAAATTGTCTGATAGGAAGTAGAGATCTTTCGCTGAGCATCATACCGACCCAATATGTTTTCTCAGTGTACCTTTACTCATGTGCAGTTTGCCACAATTGCTACAAGGATGTTTCGGAGCTTGATAGATGTGGCGCTTCTCATGGCTGTTGCGCTGGACTTGTTCTTGGAACTTTTGGTCGCAAAAGCTGCATAAGAAAATCTTATCGGATGGTTGAATGTCTCGAAGGTCGGCCTTCTGAGCTAGAGAATTAGCATTTAACACTTGTGATGTATGGAGTCGTGCGCCGAAAGTTGTGCAAGTACGCTAATATTAGCGTCTCACTGGCGCTGCTTAGCTTAGACCTAGTACACGTACTAATTTGTATGGCGGCCTGGTAGGCCCTAAGAGCCGCCAATGACAATTGAGCTCTACACCGATATTGATAGCGAATTCAACGAACAGCTCTACACCGACATTAACAGCGAATTCGACTGCGAAGAGCTTGCGTATCGCCTGCGAACTATCTTCAAGTTCAACGCCTTATTTAGTGCCTAATTCAGCGCATTTGGAGCTCAAATATTGATATAATGGCTGCAGAAACTCTCTCTATAGCCCTCTATAGCCTCCTCAGCTGTTCGAGCGTACGCACAAACAGGCTGTGGCCGTGGAAATCCTCCTCCTCCTCCTCCTCCTCCTCCTCTTCCTCTTTCTCCTTATTGACGAAATAACCCTCCTCCTCCTCCTCTTCCGCAGGGTATTATTAATAGGGGTCATCGATATATAATTACGCAACAAGTTCAATGCCTTACATTAATAGTAGAAGGATTCTTAACAGTTAATATTAAGGCAAAAACAAGGATTAAAATAATAACATAATCTTGTATCAAAAAAAGAGCATATATATGTGGATTTCATCCTAAACAAGATTCTTGTATTTTAGAGTATTATGTACAAGATAAAGAACGCTCTAATAGGCTTAAAGAGATCTCTTTTAAAATAGAGCAATATTTGCTTAATAGTATTTAATCAGATTGTGCTAGTCGTGAGAAATCAAGCAAAGTTCTTGCTTATAAATGCGGAATTAGTCAATCAAGTACTCTTCGAATTCTGCATAAATATAAGCTTACAAATGTCAAACCAACTTGAAAACCTAGCCTAAATCGTGTTTAATAAGCTGCCTGCCTTACTTTTTGCCTTAATCACGTAAATTAGACTCTTAAGGACTAGAAGTATGTAATTTAGAGTAATAAGATCTCTGTCGTCCTAGGTTAACAAAGAGGATTAATATAAATTTAACGAAATAATAGAGAAGCATATAAAAATAATTATATTTAATAGAGATAAAAGGGATATTCTGAATTTATGTTTTAAGGCTATTTTTATTAAGATAAGAAAGGCCCTTACTATATTTAGATAAAAGAAATAGTTATTAAGCATAAGAAGACTAATAAAGAGCTAAAAGAGCTTAATATATTTCTTAAACCTAAGTTAAAGATGCTTTAAGAGATAAAAAATAATGTACACTATATAAATCTTTGTTAATAACCTCTAGATAAAGCACTATAATAGAGATTTAATAAAGCAAATAACAAGTTTATTTAAGAGAGCAAAGTAGGAAGTATTAATTAATATAAGTAATTAATATTACTTTTATCTATAAAGTAGAGTTTTACTGACTAAATAAGTATTAGAAATATATTCTTTTACTAAAGCTTATCCTTTTTATAAAAGAATATTAAGAAATACAACTAGATATCTTAGTATAAGAGGATAACACTCCTTTGTATACTTATAAGTATTAATATATAGTTTATAAGCTTTATAATGTTATATAGCTTTTATAGCTAGACAATTCTCCTAATTTAAATGCTTCTAAGCCTGCTTAGTTTTAGCTAAAACGTAGAATTACTATACGTGGTTTATCTACGAATTACAAGGCTATATATTATAGCACATGAACACGCCAAGCACTAACAGGCACTACGAAGCTGCCTAGCACTCTGTGAAGGAACTATAACAGACTTGGACAGGACTAGACCCTGAACTGCACACAAGGTCAGACCTAGACAACGTAATAATCAGAGGTGATCAGGGTGAGCACTTATGAGCAATGATCAGAGGTGATCAGGGTGAGCACTCATGAGCAATAATCAGAGGTGATCAAGGTGATTAACTCTGAGCACGAATCTTTTACTCTATATAAGCACGCTTATTTCCTAGATAGTTTTATAGTCTTTGTAGTCAACTTATATTATTAGCTTATACCTAAGTTAAAGACATCTTAATATTATTTATTATATTTCTTATTCTACTTAATTAATTCTTTAGACCTAGCTTCTAGTTAACACTTGTCTTAACTAGTTAAGTCTTAATATTTTAATTATTACTCTTTAGAATACTAAGTATAATTAAACAGATATTATATATATTACTTAAGGCATATATTATATTAGTTGCCTTAAGACTTACTACTATTATTAAGAGCTAAGGAAGAAACATATAGTTCAAAGTTGTACCCTTAGATCTCTTTTATAAAGACTAAAGAGACTTTAAAAGTTCTTAAACTAATTATAAATTAACTTCTTATTTTATATATAAGTAATAAATATAAATAAGAAGAAGATATTATATATAGTTACCTTTCTTTAAAGAACTATATATAATTAGTTTAAACCTTATCTTAAGAATAAGCTTAAGAAAGTATTAAAGAATTAAGAATTAAATATATAATAAATCTTTTATAGTTTTACTAATTTTGTAATTAAGATTAAGTAAGTATATAAGGACATAAATATAATTAAGAAAGCCGAATAAGACTTACTACGCATAAGACAGAAGAGATCTGCTATAGACTATACTTTTAAGTTTTACTAGATTACCTTACA